TTTAGAGTAATGTTGCGGGCCCGCGCTCATACAGTAGTACAGTCTACTAGTTGTGGGCAGCATTTTTTTTTACAGAATAAGGGTGACAAACGAGCAAACAGTCCAGTGAATGCCCATAGACATCTACATATATTAAACAACATAATACAGATGCGTGGTCACCCCTGAGGACTAAGATAAAATTCCTCATAAATAGGGTCTTCGGTTCTCTAACTTCACCATACGAAACACAGCAGCCATAAGCTGCTATTTTACGCTGGTATTCGGTGAGAGTGTGGTCCCAGCCCGGTCGGGCCGACCCATTCTTGCTACAACTTCTATAGCTGTAGCATGGCTCTACCACGTACAATGCGTTGCCAATGCCTTTTGTGTCAGATAAAATCACGGGCGTGCGCGCAACAACTTACCAAAGTTTCATCGTAATCGGATAAATGGTGTAGAAACTAGGGTCACATAGAAAACGAACAAACGACAAATAAATATTAGTTATTTTTGCAATAGGCATATACGATGGTTCATGAAGCATCACTACTAGTCGCTTAGGGTGACATAATTGTATGTAATGGGCATTTTATCATTTGAAATGCAAAATTAAAAAAAACATACTATATAGCAAAATACAGTAGCCCGCGTCAGTATATATTCTGTATAGTCAGTACATGTAGTCAGTACATAACATTCATGCAAATACTTCTCTGAGCATATTAGGGTCATAGTAGTGGAACGAATCTCTTGAAATTATAGTACAGCCTACCCAACGTACGCACCTTGTACGTACTTCTATAAAAGCACGAACGATGATTATATTGAAAGAATAACATCAAAACATGATGTTTTTCAACTGAATTTGAATTTGAATTTTGAAAAAAAAATACAAAAATCAACAATTGAACATAATAAATGCAACATAACAATAAATAGTAAAGTAGCCAAAAGCACGCATCTATCTCTTTATTAACATTCCAATTTTCATAGCAATTAGTTATTGGTGGAATTAGTAGACTCATTTTAAGATGGATTTAGTTTAAAGAACTTTAATGACTGCAAAAATCCTTTAGCTGTAACTAAGCTTGCTATTAGCGCGAATATATCCTTTTATATCTACTCTTCTAGATTTATTAGCGGCACTGTTCTCAAATAAATAAATTTATACCTAGATATATATATGTACCTCCGAATATGTTGATGAAACTGTCAACTGAGAACATTTTTTTCTCATTGGTTGTCGGATTCTCAAGTGTATTATCGGTCTAGTGCCGCCTCTTTTTAAAATCAACAGATTACATATTATAACATATCACATAGTTGGTACCTACCTACCTTTTTATAAACTGTAGGTATATCGTAGCCCATTAAGCATTGTATAAGGACATTTGATCTGGTAAAGGTATAAATGAAAGATAACTTCAAAAGATAACACAATCCTGCTACACTCAGAATAGTAGGGATAAATATCTGATGTTTCTGTTAACAAAACACATTATACTTTAGATCGCTTTAAGTGGCAGCCTCTTGATAAAATGTTATATCACAAAGCCAACACTTAGCGACGTTGTTATCTGCAGTTGATCGCTCATCGACATCCTTAAAACATTTTGTACTACAAGTAACAAAAGTTTTTGCCGCCTTTCATTACAATTATTTACGATACACTACAAAGGACCATTCTGTCGTTTTGTCATTAGTATCCATTTTCTTACTAACTTATCCAAATATATATGTAATGTATGTAAAATAAAAGTGATAATAATTTAACTACGTGCGTCTTTGTAAAAAGTCGAAAATCATAAAAATGAAGCCTGTATTTTATAATTTTGAACTTACTTAATAATAATATAATTTTTATTTCATGTTTTAACAAAAGAACATCTAATTGATGATATTATAGTGGATATGTTAAGTTTATTTATTACTATTCCTCTAAAAGCGCATAATGTTCGAAATAAGATTTTTATTTTATTTTATGGAGCAACCAGTATAATAATTTAAGATTTACAATTGTTTAATGTCTTATAAGAAAGTTATATAACTTATGAGAGAAATTACAATAAAGAATTATTTTAGGCACATTGATTGAAGGATAGCGAACGAAATAATCAAAGGCACATTATCTAACTAGTTTTAAATTGAAAATTATGCAACGAATACTTATATAAAATACTATGGTAGGAGTTCTAACATGTAAAATACTATATGCGCGATCGGAGCAAACACTTGATGAGGTATAATGATAAGCTTTACTTTTTACTCATTGTAGCTATCCAATATTAATAAATTGTAATATTATATTATATGTAGCAAAATGGAATTGACGCGAAAAGAAATTTTAGGTCGATGATTTTTTTATGATTTTAAAAGTACAATCTATCCACAAGAACGTACTGTTCGTCTTCAAATTGCTTCTAGGAGGGAAGCATTTCATTTGAGTACGCAGAATTTGATCGTGGCCGTGTTGTGTGTGTGTTACGTGTGTTCTCTCCGTGATGAAATTCGGCAGTCGGTCGACCCTCGACTGCGACTGCGATCACTGAGAAAAATGTGGCTACGGTCAGATAACTAATTAAAAAAAAGCAACACATCACACATGAGGAAATTCGAGGACATTAGTGAAATGATATGGGTCAAATTATAAAAAATATATCATCATTTAAAAGTTAGAAAACTTTGTAGCCGCTGGATTCCTAAAAAATAAAAATAAATGTTGTTAAAATATAATCACGGACGTTTAAGCGCCGTTATGACATTATGACAGGAAAATAAACATGGATATTTTGTTATATTCCGGAACGAAAGCAACAATTTTCTGTATGGGTGTTCGAGGCCGACAGCAAACCAACATAATTGAGGCAGGCAAGAGGCGTGGGGAAAAAAGTCTGCACGAACCCACTTGATAAGAAAAATACAGATAATGTTAAGTGATACACCACTATTTGTTTGCAGTGTCTTTAAAAAAGTTAGGGAGAAATGACCGTCACATCCTGCATCTGCACCATGACAATGCTTCGGCGCACACCGCGAACAAGACAAAATCATTTTTGGCTTCTGAAAAGGTAGAGATCACGACCATCATACCATGCGATTCTTTATTTTTACAAAAACATAAGATTTGATGATACTTTTGACATTATTTATTGAACCACAACAGGCCAACGGCTTTCATTCAGCACGTGAAATGAAATACATAACCTAAGACCAATGGTCCTCATTTTAAAAAAATAGTTTAAACCAATGAAAAGGTGTTTAAAATGTAATAGAGAACGTTTTGAAAATCTGTAATTGATACCTGTATTTAATAATTTCGTAAGTATATCTACCTAGTAATGGAAAAAATGTTTTATGTTCATTATTATATTGTTATAAAAAATTGTTATTACGTAAGTTTAATTAATTGAATTTTTATATTCTACTTGCTGGTACTGGTAATTTGGAAGAGTTATATTGTTTATTCATTGAAATTGAATGATTTATAATAACTTTCAAATAAAATTGTACTACGCCTATAGCCTTCGCGCAAGTGCAAGCAATAACCTGACAAAGTGTTAGCGCAATCTGATAAACGGTATGGCAGCGCGTGAAATACGAACAAACAAGAATTAATTTTTATATATTAGATTTCGAAATGTAATGTTTTAATGATTTTTTAAATTTTGGGTATAAGATTTTAGATTATTTAATATACTTATTAGACCCCCGTCCGAAAGGCATATTTCCATAATTTGTTCGCGGTAAGTGTAATTAATATTTTTACTTATCTTAGTCTTTGTGGACTTAGAAACTTTTTATCTTTTAAGTTCAAAATACGTGATAATGCATTATTTTAACTGGCATTTTACTGCGTACGCACACATTCGTAAGGGTCGATCGGTAGGCAAAAACGTTGTTTCCTATAAATCACATTTAATTTGGGATAATTTCAAATAAAAGTAGAAGCCTTATTTACTCGTATTTTCAAAAACTGCAATAACGGTATATCATTCTTTAGGGTCATACGAGCACACAGTCCACCTAATGGTAACTGGTTGCTGTGATCCATAGACATCTACATTTATCCTCAATAAAGAATCAAAATGCAAATGCGTCGTTACCCGTGAGGACTAAGTTGGAATGCCTCTTTTCCAGTAAAATGGGTCTCCGGTTCTCTACACTCACCATACGAAACACAGCAGTGTCAAGCTGCTATTTTACGCTGGTATTCTGTGAGAGCGTCGTCCTTCCCCGGTCAAGCCGACCCATTAGTACTACAACTATACTACTAATATAGCTGCAGCATGGCTCTACCACGTAAAAAAATTATACGTTTGTACTTAAGTTTAAAATTTTGTTACGCTTTGAAAAATAATCCTGTATAATAGAATAATGTAATAGATACATGTGCCGTCAGACGTCAATTACAAATGCAATATAACTGTAGGTACTTTATGATATTTATTGAATGCTGTAGGTACTTGACAAAAATATCATATTTCATTCGATTTGTATCAAATCCCAGGGCCGGCTCCCCTTTATAAAATACTCGTATAGGTACATAACGTACATTTATCTTATTACAAAGGAACAAAGGCTCCGATACAAATATATAAAACACTCGAAACGCCGAGAGTATAATGCCCATCATTATACATTCATGTGCTTTGTCGTTTACAGTATTTATTTTGAAATGTGTCAAGGGGTGAAAACCCTCTTTTCGCTTGAAAGCTCCCAAAATTGAGCAAAGAGGGCGTCTGGGCGAATGGGCGGCGTCGGGAACCCTCGTTATTGGTGCTACTATGCCCCACCAATGGGGGCTCCGCCCTAATGAAAATTCATTTCGAACGACTGTGCGAATGATCGTTCAGTGAGCGAATGTCACGGTGGTAGATAGACGTGTTTAAGGCACACCACTCACTTTGCGTAGTACAATACTGAATCATCATTAATCAGTAACGACTGGATCAGTTCGGGTTGCGCGTGAATAGTAATGTTTGTCGGTGATTACGTGTAAAAACTGTTTCTTGTTTGTTATGCACGCCATGAGTGACCCCGCTGCTTTAGCCGGCATGTTACCCTTCGATTCTATAGGGCTGTATGAGCAGCCCAAACCGCGGTTCATCTTCAAGATGCCCAGAGTTGTTCCAGATCAAAAGGCTAAATTTGAATCGGACGATTTGTTCAAAAGATTAAGTAGAGAAAGCGAGGTATGTTATTATTTTTTATTTCTACAGTTTTGTGCCAACTACCGTCTCACTAAATTTTATGTTAAAATAACAGATTAGTATACTCGTAGTAGGTAATAAATAATAGTTAAAAGAATATTAGTATTTAGGAACCTCGATGGAATTCATATTTAAACAAACAGGAAATTTTGTGCTGTAATTAAACTGTGTGTAATTAGCATTGTACTTTTCCTAGAAAACGTTTGACATACCATTAGTTTAAGCCGTTATTTATGCTAATTATCACAAATTAGGCTCGTTAACATATTATTGAGTAGAAACCCAAAAGACTAAAAGTATACTTAATAATAAGCGAAAAAACCTATCATTTAAAATTATGTACTTCTATGAAATAAAAAATAATGTGTTATTGTCGTATTATTAGGTGAGGTACACTGGGTACCGTGATCGTCCTCCAGAGGAGCGTCAAATGCGATTCACAAGTGGTTGCCGCGAAGGCCACACGGAAATCGCTTTCATATCTACCGGCACTAATCTACAACTTGTCTTCGATCATTCGCCCTATAACAACCGGGGCTGTGACTTTCAGAAGGAAAATGGAAAGGTAACTTACATTTTTTCTCTTCTACACGTCGTCCGTAGGTCTACTATTATACTACATATTTCACTATTATTTATTAAAATAAATGTACGAATTGCAAAATGATTTCGCACACATTTTCAAATGTACACATACAAATGAAATTGAAGCGTCTGTCTATGATATTCAAATGACTTGAATGATTCAATGATATTTTTATTAATTATTATTTTTTTATGCTCAGGATTATTTGTATTCTAATATGACGTAGATAACCATTTTAAAAAAAATTATCTGTATGTGTATCCGGGCTAATCTTCGCATTGCCTGAACCGATTGCGACGAATCTTAACGGAACGGACAGAACTTAGTGACGGATAGAGAGCAATGCCAGGAGGGATCTAGACCAAATTTTATGCAAAAAACTATATTTTTTTTTTAAACGAAAAGCTTATAAAATAAATGGTCTTTGATTATCTTATATCTAAATAACGCCACATTTATCTATATCCAGATCCTATATATAGAAGCCGGGGCGGATCTACTTCTTCTTTCCTTTTTGTGGATATTTGCTAAAATTCGCCAATTTTTATATATATACTAGCTGTTCCTCGCGACTTGGCCCGCGTGTAATTTAGGGTTTTAATTTTTTGCGCGGAACCCTAACTCTTTTTCTAAAACAAAAGTAGCCTAAGTTACTCTTTATAACATCAGCTGTCTGCCAGTGAAAGTCCCATCAAAATCGGTCAAACCGTTTAGGAAATTAGCCGGAACAAACAGACAGACAAACAAACAAAAATGTTAAAAATTGTGTTTTGTTATAAGTACCATATATACTTTCATATGCATTTAGTGAAAAGATGTTATTTTGACGTTACAAACAGACCCTCCAATTTTATTTATTTGTATATATATACTTTAATTAAAATAAGAGTCTGTGATAATACAAGGATTTAGTTTTCCTCCTAGAATTTTGTCAAATCTATCTGTTGAATTACCCCGTGGCGGGTCACTAGTTACAAATGATTGTCGCTAAAAACTACGCCAGTTCGCACTGCAATAATCGTTTATGTAATAATGTCCTTTTCTATAAGTATCCCATTCTTCACGAATTAAAAATTATACCTATTATTTGAAACGCGTAGGTTTAAGTGAAATTTTAAATTCCTTTGGGATCACTATACCGAAACTGATTTCACCACGGAATCAGATTTGAAGTTCATTGTGAGCAGCATCTAGATATATCACTGTCATTTTATATGCATACTAGCTGTGGCCCGCTGCTTCACCCGCGTATTATTTAAGGAAGTACTTATTTATTAATTGATTTATAGTACTGCAGTATAGACAATATTTGTAGTAACCTTTTCATTTGGTATTAAAAGGTTACTACAAATATTGGTTTTCACCGCATCCTATTCTAAATAAGCCAACATATAGGTAACTGCCCATGGGAAAAACAGCATTCACTTAAATCTATCGCCACGTGCTTGAAAGTCTATCCCTGTGTGCTTTATTTATAGTGGCTGGAAACGATACTTTTATGGGAAATTGTATTCTTTTAAAACTAAATGGTAAATCTGTAAGTATCATAGGAATTGGAGGTATCAGTACCGCCGCAGTAGCCCAACTGCTGGCCCAGTCAAAACTATAGCAACTATGATATTATTTCCAAGAAATTTAACTTGAAGCCTAGTTCCGTTGCATAGACTTGGTGGCAGCAGGTTTCGTAATAAAATAATGGGAGTGACACTTTATGAACTAAGCCGCGCGAAATGACAGCTCGCTTATATAGGCGTTCACTGCTGGTTTCTTACGAATTTCATCGGGCGGCTATGGTTTATGCGATCGTTCGCGCTTCGAGCAGAGTGTTTATTATATTAATTTTTCATTATCTCTTAAACTATGCGTCCAAATAACATGCTATAAAGAGCAAAGTTTGTCTTCATAAAATTGTCTTGATGATGAAGTAACTTTCGTTCGTAAGGATTAATATGCCATGCCTAATAATAACGCTCATAAATCACTTTTTAATGTTCAACAATTTTTTGTCACAAAATACCTTATTGTGGCTTATGTTTAAGAAATAGGCATATGGTAGCACCGACTTTTTTTAGGTGGAGCAAAGACCAATATTTTTGTAGAACATTGTATTTATGTAATACTAAACGTTACGCCACCGTACGCGGATAAAGCACTTAGAGCGCCTTTTCTTCCGACTTGCTTAACAAAAATTAATATTTAAGGCTAGCTGAGAGTTATAGGCTAATGTTAGATAGCCTATACTATTTCTCATGAATCTGGCTATTATATACAAAAATAATTTTTCAAATCGGACTGGTAGTTCCAGAGATTAGCGCGTTTAAACAAACAAAAAAAAAACTCTTCCGCTTCAATATATTAGTATAGATATTATCTGACCACATAATTAAGATCTAGGACCTTAATCAAATTATGTTACTATATTGTAGTGTTTCTATCGAATAATGGATTGTAAAGTTTAAACTATGGTGATGTCAGTAGATATACTGGGAACAAACGACTACTTACTAAAATGTGTGTTTACGCATTAATTATTATGCATATCTAAAACAGTTTAAATTTCCGATAGTAATTTGAGAAAATTGCCGTGGACGAAATCAGTCAAGAGAACATCGTCGTCAAATCTCTAAGGAACTTGATCATTTGAGGTCATACAAGTAGTCACTCTTAAACGTAATTTATTCACACTTGTGAAGAATTTTTAACTAAAAATTACCGCCTCCGAAATTCTAAATTATTAACGTTTAGTTGAAAGTCTTCAGGTACCTAGTAATTATCTTATTATTATTATTTTATTCATAGTGTAAAATTATGTACTATGATTTTACAAACTACTGCGTGGGTTAGTGCTCGAAATACGCAGTCCAGCGGACTGGTCGGCGATACGCTGTGGCTAAATAATTAGAAAAACCGAGAACTGAAGAAGGAGAAATGATAAAATGTCAGCCTCGTCGCAAGCACAAGCGCAGTGTAGCGCAATCACTTACAGGGTAAATGAAGTTGACTTTCTACAATCGTTAACGCTGATAGAGTATGACATATCACGAGTCACGTGATTTATCTTTGATTATGAAGGATGCTGGTGGTTAAGGGTGGCAATCATTATTATAAAGAAATGTTAGTAATTGTTATTAACAGTAAAAATTTAAATTATCGTGCCAGATTTATGTAAGACCACACATACATCACGCTTACGTCCTAGTACTTCACGGTGCTCATTTTCTCAATTTTCATATCAATAATATCTCGAATAGAATATCTTTTTTACGTATTTTTTGATCTGGTAGCTTATTTTGCAGGCTGTAAGCCTATTTCGTATAGTTTTAAAGATCTCGTGGTGAGTGAGTGAGTGAGACAGTGGTATTTCTCCGCAATCCGTCCCGGCTTCGCACGGTTGATTGTAGATCTCGACAACAACCACCTACTCCTTTAAACCATTCTCTAACCAACTTCACTCAGAGGTCGACGGCTCCGTGGCGCAGTGGCTTAGCAATGAGTTGCTGCGCTGGTGGCCGCGGGTTCGAATCCCGCACGGAACAAGTATTTGTATGGCCTGCAAATAATTGTTTCGGGTCTGGATGTTTGTCCTTGTGCAATTTATGTTTGTCAACTGCTTCCACGATAGAGGAGAAAATCCTAGTGTGGGGGTAACGTTTTTTTTAAATTAATTAAAAATAAATAATTAATAATAATAAAGTTTCATTCAGTCCAGCCGTTTAAGAGGAGCTCAGTCACGTACACACGGACAGAAAAATTATATAATATATACATATAAACTTTTCTCTTGAATCATTCTGTCTATTGATGAAAACCGCATCAAAATCCGTTGCGTAGTTTAATATATCTAAGCGTACACACGGCGGGAAGCGACTTTTTTATAATTCTAATACTATGTCAGAGCGCGCGATGACTTATCAATAATCTAAGACTATGTAGAGATATGTTTGTAATATTACATTCTACACTATAATTTACACCTACCGACTTAATCTTCGTCTTATTGCCGCTTTGAATACGAGTACACGAATTTGCTCTGTGATGTAGTAATTGTAACTACTTACATAATATATCAAGTTAACCCAATCACAGTCATGAGTGAAAAAAAAAACATCTGTGCTTTGCAAATCTGAAGTACTTATAATACAAATCCGAATGCACTTCAAGTTATATTTTCTAATAAATTTAATGCAAAATAATGTTTTTTATTATTATATTACATACTAGCAGATCCCGAATAATGATCACGCCACTGACGCGATCAGCGATTAATGGCGCATCATCAACGTTACACCGTTTCCGGCACACATTTCGTTACAAAAATTAAGACATAAATAACTTTAAGGCTAATGAAAAAAAAAAATCAAGCCGTAACACCGCATATAACGCGCCGGTCACGCTCTGCATTCATTTTATAACGTGTTACTTTAATGAATGACATCTTTTTTATTTGGACTATTATACCGGTACGGGTACGCTTTATTAGCTCGTAATATTTGAACAGAGAGGAACATGTTGATGCATTAAAAATGGAACTAATACAACAATTTACACTGAATGCTGCTGATAAAGTACTTTGCCGTTGTTTTTAATTTGATTTTGGCCTAATTTACATTAACTGCATTGGGTGACATTTTCAAGGACTGGAAAGAATGTTGTATCAATCATCATTCATCAGTCATCAATGGCAAGTACATAACTTAGCTTCGATATGCCGACTAAATATTTCTTATAGCTCTAAAGAATCGCTGAAGGACCTCAGCACTATGCTTAATGACCTCAGTATCGTCTCCCAGACGTATAGGTCTTAGGATGAATGTAGACAAAAGACAAATTTAACGTCCATCTCACACCAATTCCTGTAGTTGTTGGGAGCACTACACTCGAAGTTGTTGACGTGTATGCTTACCTAGGGAAAATTGCCGAGTAGGTAAGTCAAAAAACGAATCCAACCTGGCTGGGTAGCACAAATTAAGACACATCTC